AATATTTTTTTTAATTACTTCGGTTTAGATCTTACCACCTTCGCCCTCCTATTTATACTCGTATAGATATAAATCATATTGCTAAAAATACAACTAGCACTTCTCGTAAAAAAATGAGACGTGCACTAGTGCGAGCTGTACCGGTTGATAAATAATAACATATAGGAATCATAATTAATATCTAAATACTCTTGTAGCTAGTAGGGAAACCCCTTCTCCGGTACACGAGACGTTTTCTGGTGCGTCTTGTGTCTAATTATGCTCAATGGTTCCCTCTGGAGCGATTAATGTGGTGTTTGAGAGCAGGTTAGGAGCGTCGATTTGTCATCACCTATATGAAGTGAAATTGAAATGATCGTTTCATATCTCTGCATGCAATTTAAAAACGTAGCGTCTTCAGTTGTTCTGTGACAATCCACAATTGAATTAACTTTTATATGCTACCAAATAAATGTAACAGCCTTTAAACCCAATTGCAAACAAGCGCGCCGTTTCGGGCGTAATCGAGCTCTGGGACGTGTGCCCGCACTTTTTTCTTACAGAACTCCATGCTACAACTTAAACAAACAAGTATACAGTCGAATCGTGGCAGTTGCCAGCCTGCTTTTATTTTAATAGTGGCTTCAGGATTAGCAATCATGCAGAAAACGAGCGTACTGGAAATATTAACGTCGGCCTTCAGGCGCCTGTTTCCCTCCTTCACGAGACAACAAAACACCGCGCGTGTATCGGTGCCTCGCAGTCTAGACTAGAGCGGCCGAGGCGAGCGGGAGAGCCCTGCCCCCTGTCTTGTCACACCATCACGAATCAACGACCAGCGCTGAAATACCACATCACGCCGTCACGAAGCGAACCGGAGCCGAAGAGCGCAGATAAATTAATAGGCACTTTTCTCCTTTCCCATCACTCGTAGAGAACCAGCCGTACGAGCTAACAGCGCAATAGCTAAGCGAGCGTCGACTCAACTTCCCCGAAAATGTACGGAGAAGTCACATGACTCGCCTTCCTCGACGTGACCCCGCAAACCCTCATGAAACCCATGGCCCCTTTGGGGACCTCATGCCTCGCCGAACATATGAACTCACGCCCCTCACGGAACTCATGAACTCACCGAATTCACAAACTCATATCCCTCACCGAACTCACAAACTCATGTCCCTTACCGAACTCAAGCACTCATCCACTTCATTAACTCACGCCCCTTACTAAACTCATGAAATCACCCAACTCATAAACTCACGTCCCTCACCGAACTCGGGCACTCACCCACCTCATAAACTCGCGCCTCTCACGGAACTCTTGACAAAATACGCCGCAGGACAAGGGCAGAAAAAGAAAGACAACATGAAGCGCTATTTCAACTAAATGTTTATTAAAACAACACACACTATTTATACACTCAATCGGGTTTCTAAAGAATTCAAATTCCTTGTCTGCTAAATGGACTGACGGGGCACTTATGCATCTGTCATCCCCCTGCAATCTAATTTTGGATGACATGTACAGCTCACTCGAGATTTTGCTTTTTAGCTTTCCCAGAATTTTTTTTTTCTAATTCCGGGGCGCAAGTGCATCTGTCGCAGTGAATAGCTACATTGCCCTAAGAGTCCCACGTCCCTCTGTTTGCATGTCATTGGAAAGGGCAGATGCGTTAATGAAAGGGCAAGAGAGAGCGCGCTATTAGTAAGGAATTCCCCCTCGGACAATCTAGCTATTAACTGCGACAGATGCCCTTGCACCCCGGAATTGGAAAAAAAAATTCTGGAAAAGCTAGGAAGTAAAATTTCGAGAGAGCTGTACGAGTCCTTCCATATTAGATTGCAGAAGGATTACAGATGCATAAGTGCCAAGTCAGTCCATCTAACAGACAAGGCATTTGAAATCTTGCTTGAGAATCCCGATTGGGTGTATAAGTAGTGTGTGTTGTTTCAATAAACATTTAGTTCAAAGTAGCGCTTCGTGTTGTCTTCCTTACTTTTTCCCTGTCTTGCCGCACATTTTTTTCAAAAGAGATCATGTACCAACAGGCCCATCTGTCACTATTGACCCTCACCCAACTCACAAACCCACGTCTCTCACCGAACTCAAGCACTCACCCACCTCATAAACTCAACGAAACTCACGAACTCACGTCCCTCAGAGAACTGAAGCTCTCACTCACCTCATAAACTTACGCCACTCACCGAAGTCATGAACTTAATGAACTCACAAACTCACGTCCCTCACAGAAGTCAAGCACTCACCCACCTCCTAAACTCACTCCCCTCCCCAAACTTAAGAACTCACTAAACTCACAAACCCACATCCCCCACCAAACTCAGGCACTTACCTACCTCATAAACTCACGCCCCTCTCCGAACTCATCAACTCACCGAACTCACAAACTCACGTCCCTCACCGAACTGAAGCAGTCACCCATGCCATAACCTCCCACCCCTCACCGAACTCACGAACTCACCAAAGTCAAAAACTCACGTCCCTCACAGAACTCAATCTCTCACCCGCCTCATAAACTCACGCTCCTCACCGAGCTCGGGAATTAACGAACTCAAAAACTCACGTCCCTCACCGAACTCAGGCACTCACCCACTCCATAAACTCACTTCCCTTACCGAACTCACGTTGCTCACCGAACTCAGGCACTCGCCGAACTCATGAACTCCCGTTACTTACCGAACTCATAAACTTACCGAACTCACAAACTCAATCCATCACCGCACTCAAGCACTCACCCACCTCATAAGCTCATGCCCCTCATCGAACTCAAGCACTCACCGACATTAGAAACTCGCGCCCCTCACCAAACTCATGAACTCATCGAACTCACAAACGTATGTCCCTCACCAAACTTATGAACTCAGGCCACTCATCAAACTCATGAGCTCAAAAACTCAATCAGAAACTCACGTCCCTCACCGAACTCAAGCGCTCACCCACCTGATAAACTCACCTCCTCACCGAACTCACAAACTCATGTCCGTCGCCGAACTAAGGCAGTCACCGAACTTATCAACTTAGTCCACTCACCGAACTCATAAACTCACCGAACTGACAAACTCACATCCCTCACCGAACTCAAGCACTCACCCACCTCATAAACTCATGTCCCTCACAAAACTCACAAATTCATGTCCCTCCCTGAAACGAGGCAATCACCCGCCTCAAAAACTCACGTCCCTCACCGCACTCACGAACTCACCAACTCACGTCCGTCAGCGAACTGTAGCACTCACTCACCTCATAAACTCAAGCCACTCACCGAACTCATGAGCTTAAACTTCTGTCAAACTCACGTCCCTAACCGAAGTAAAGCACTCACCCACCTCCGTAAAGTTACTCCCCTCAACAAACTCATGAACTCACCAAACTCACAAACTCATGAACTCACCAAACTCACAAACTCACGTCCCTCACCAAACTTAGTCAATTGCCCACCTCATAAATTCACGCCCCTCACCAAACTCATCAACTCTCCAAACTCACAAACTCACGTCCCCCACGGAACTCAAACACTCACCCACCTCATAACCTCACGCCCCTCACCGAACTCATGAACTCACCAAACTCACAAACTCATGTCCTCACCGAACTCAGGCACTCACGGAACTCATGAACTCAGGCCACTCACCGAACTCACAAATTCACGTCCCTCACCGAACTCATGAAGTCACCAAACTCCCAAGCTCACGTCCCTCACCGAACTAAGGCAGTCACCGAAATCATGAACTCACGCCCCTCACTAAACTCATGAACTCACCGAACTCAAAAACTCACGCCCCTTATCAAACTCAAGCACTCACCCACCTCGTAAACTCAGGCCGCTCCTCGAACTCATGAACTCATCGAACTCACAAATTCACGTCCCTCACCGAACTCAGGCATTCACCGAGCTCATAAACTCAGGCCACTCAGCGAACTCAGCAACCCACGTCCCTCATCGAACTCAAGCACTCGCCCACCTCATAAACTCACGCGCTTACCGAACTCATGAACTCACAAAATTCACGAACTCACGCTCCTCACAGAACCCACTCCCCTAACCGAACTCATGACCTCCCCGTATTCATGAACTAACCGAATTTATGAACTCATCGAACTCACTGGCCTCATGCCTGGTCGGTGAGGCTGAGTGATGTGACTGAGTGCACTCATGAGTGAGTTTTCACCGAAGTATGCGCATGACACGCTCGCTTTCCAAAGCCGCGCGCGCTGTGACTCGCTGTAGACGCTCCCGGAGCGGTGTCGAGAGCGCCCGCCACATGCCGCGACTTCATACAGGACAGGCAAGTGTTGGGCTCAAAATCTCACCTGTTCGAAACCGATTCAGGGGCCACTGCTATGTAAATATGGGGCATATAACCGCGTTGCCATGGCAATGCCACGGTAACGCGGTTGCCATGGCATTGCACTATTAGGTGTACAAATCTCATGAGTTCTCTCATCAATCCTGACCACAAAATTGTGTTTTTTAGTTGATTTTACTCTTACACGTAAATAGGCAGGTAGTCTAAGCAGCGGGATGACGATGCTGGGGATTCATCTCAATGTAAACGCATTTGGGTTTACATTAAAATGGTGCCAGGTTTTTGCGGAGCAATCAGCCCTTTTCAAAATTGCGCGCAATCTCGTAGCTGCAGCGCAAGTTATCGAAGCCTGCCATTTTCTGGGCACGTGTGCCGAGCATGTATTGGACAGGAAGGACACGTCAACGTTCGGCGAGGACTAAGATCTCTTAGTGGTGACAGATTGAAAGCTCAGGACAAGATTCTCGCGCTCATTTCCAGTATAGCAGAGAGAACGCTGGAAAGGAGGCGACCTCCTTTCCAGCGCTAGTTCTGCAAAAGTGTGGGAGAAACTTGCCTTGAACTCTTAACCTTTCACTGACTATGTATAATCACACGCTTCGTGCCCAAGAAATAACTGCCGCCAATGTTGCCTGATGTAGCTTTTCTGTTAACTTCTTCACTCCATGTGGCGCTTTCTTCCTAGAGCAAACTTACCGTAGGACATGATGAGGTCCCTAAAAAAGGGCAGCCAAAAGTTGAAACGCAGCGTCAGAAAATGCGGCACGATGCCCGGAAAGAGGTCGCTGAACCCGGTCCCTTCCGTGGCAAAGTTGATGAAGGCACCCGCGCAAAGCACGCCGTGGGGGTGCGAACCCAGGATGTAGTTGCAGCGCGGGTCCAGCTCGGCCGTCTTGACGAGCCGTGCCGGAAAGTAGCCGGCCAGGTAGCGCCAGAGCCGCCACTGACGGACCCAGTGGACGCGCCGGCCCCCACGGTCACACGCATCCAGGTCGACCCAGTAGAGCCAGGTCAGGTACAGGGCAGCCAGCCAGGAGTGCTGGGTGCACAGCAGGAGGTAGCCGGCCAACAGGACACCCGCCAGGCCTCCGAAGAGGAAGCTGACAGTCATGTAAAGCGCCGCGGCAGTCTGCAGTCGTCGCTGCAAGAGCGACTCTTTCTTGAAGTCGTCAGCTGATCCTGGGGCATCCTGAGAAGTGTGCCTCGCCTTCATCGTCTGTAGGTCCGCGACGGTGATGCACCTCGCTTGGACCAGAACCTGGAACAAGGGTTTCGGATCGGAAGATGAACCCAATCTTATTCCTTTCCGCTGCTTCAAATTCAAGTGGCTCAAAGGTGTAGTCAGAAAATCAGAGTTCTGATGCAGATATAGCCCTTTGCAAAAAATCGGTAAACATAAACTGAAGGTGTACCACCGTGCACAATATCAGCTGAAACTCCAGATTCGGTTTTTTTGCTGGGTCCGCGGTCCCTACAAGCTTCATTACCTCTCAATTCAGGAAATAATCAGAAGTCTTAGACCCGAAGTTGGCGATCCATTTCTAGTTCGGATCATAGCCCTCTTAAAAACCTTCAGGTAAAGTAAAGAATCATGAAGGACAGTTTCAGCTGATATTGCCCGCGATAGCACATGCTCCTATAGTATTCTTCAGTTTTGTTAGAAAATGGTAAAATATCCCGGTCAGACGGACTCATTCAGTATCACTTGAGCGAGTACACTTCAGCGCATCGAATGTCACAGCAAGTGCTTTCGTGCTACACGATAAAATTTTAGTGTCACTTCGAAATGATGTCATTTTCGATGGGTAAAGTAGAAAGAACGCAAATTTTTAAAATATTCGCCCAGATTTCCCAGTAATCTTTTTGTTTCCTTATTGAAAACACGTTACCAGACATTGTTGCGTTCATCAGAAATTGTTACGCCCATTTGATAAATATATTGAGCCATGACTAGCCGAGACAAGCATAAAGTACGAATCGGATTTAAAATCCGAACGACAAAAGCCACAGCCACAGGAGGAAGGCCACGGAACCACGCGGAGCGACGGAGCCATGAAACGGAGTGAGCGGCCAAGCATGCTACCGGCGCTACTCTTCGCATCCAACGCAGCGTTACCGAGGAACGTGTGGAGTTGACAAAAGATTTCGAAGAATGAAAATCCGTAGTGGGAGCAGTGTTGTGTGTGCGATTTCAGCGCCTCTCCAATGATAGGCAACAGAAGCCTCACCTCCGCGCACATCGAGCAATTTTAACCATGTTCAAGCAATCCCCAGTGACCACAAGCAGTGGATGCAAGACAACGTGTTCGTGATAGCCGCTCTCATGGCTGGCAGCCTGCCGGCAATCAGACATGAACGGTGGGCCTTCTAGCGAAATGAGCGGTGGTTCGAAGACGCCTTCACCCCATTTGTCCAAGTTTGACTTTAATCAGACTTTTTGCGTCTCTACCATTAGCCCAGGTACCTCTGGAATCATTGAGGTGCCGGCAACGCGAGAGCACCAGCGTGAGAAACCCTATTTCGCTTGAGAAGCGAATTGCCATTGGCTTATACCGCTTGTGCTCGAGCGCCGAAGACCGCACCATCGCGCACCTGCTTGAAATGGGGCGCTTAACCGTCAACATCATCTACAAAAAGTTCTGCAACGCTGGGATTGAGAAACTGAAAGGGGAGTGGCTTCGAATGTTGCGTCCGGAACAGATGTCGGTAGGTGCGCATTCAACGCATTTTCCGGCTTCCCGCACGCTGCCGACGCCCTGGAAGGCTGCCGCATGCCTGTTTCGTCGCCAAAAGACCACGCATCTGACTACAGAACTACAAGGGGGGTAGGTTTATCTTTATGCTTCGTCCACTTAACTTATTGTATCATTCTATTAAGAATGGCAGTTAATGTTTGACCACACACTAACAAAAAAACAGAATGACTGTTTTCTTATTTTCTTTATTAGTGAGGCAAGGGGCTACTCTTCATACCTCCCTTTCCCTCTTTTTTGTTCGTCAAAATTAATAGTGAAATAGGCAGAAAGGTAAACTGCACAAAACAGGCTGAAATTGAAACAAAACATAAAGCTACGATCTCTGCTGAATGATTAATCGTAGCTTGATATCCATAGAAGCCATCTAATTCTGCCTGATATGAGCGTAATGTGTGCTCCTGTTGCGTTTTAGCTTGCTGCGTTTAATAGCTGCCTGCCTCTTCATCTGCAGAATTCCGTTCGAGGTGTTTCCAGTGTCCCATCGTCTTCCGACCCCAAATCGCGATTGTCTTCATTTGTCCTCCGCACAGATGCTGCCGGTTTCAAACGGAATGTCCTGTCGTTATAAGTCCTGATATTGCACAATTTCGGAGCTATGTTGGATCACACCTTGTCTTTCTTGGCTCACTTTACGCTCTGTAGGATACGGACTCTGCCTCCTGGGTGCTGCAGCTCTAGATGCTGTCATTTTTAACAAATAATGTAGGATATTGCTGGCATCTAATCATTTCCGGTTTCGCACTTCAGTGACGGAAGACATTGAACGAAGAGTGCGGCAGCGTTTAGCTGGTACTCGTGCCATATTTGTGTAAACGCAACTCCCAGCAAAACGCTGCTGAGTCATTTCATGCCAAAGGAGACGCGGCAATTTTTTTATGTAAGGGATATGTACGAAATAATAATTTGCATAAAAAAGCCTCTTAAAACCAACAAAAGATTTTTTTTTTGTAAAGAATAAATTTTATTCTTGCTGATATCATGCTCTAAATTTCTGGAATTTGCAGAAAACCCTTGTAGTTAAAAAAAACGTAGTAAAAAAAAAGAGTTTGGTATCACATAGATTTAGGTGTACGCCTAATTCCTTAATAACATACCCTATCTTGCAGTAACATACACACTTTGAAAGACGCCAGTTTGAGTCCAAACAGGAGCTCCAAAAGGAAGGAACGTTTCGTGATGTCTTTTTTTAGTCAACCAGTATCTGGGTGTTAGCTACAATACTGTTCTGGTTGTTCTCACAGAACTAATGATTGAACTGCACGTGTTAAATTTTTAAAGCCTGGTATTGTTGCCTTTTTAATAAATTACAAATTCTTCAGTTTATGCTGAAACGGCATTATTGAGAGCCAGAAAAAGCAATGTGGGCATCGGTGCCCGTCACTTTCGAAATACCCAAACGTTCAATCCACCTTACATCTTTGACGCATCAAAACATTTAAAAAATTCTTTTTGTTTTAGCTGAGAAATTATTGCTTAAACATGAGCCTCTCCGACCATGCCTCCAGGCGCCCACTTCGTAGGCGACGCACGCCGGCGTTCGCCAACGAGGCGTCAACGATGTGAGGGGATGCCACTTGGTGTTCAACCCCCTCCTAAAAACACTCTTTATTCACTATTATTAGAATGCAATTAAATGCAAAGGGTGGACAACGATGACGAAAATAATCCCTGGAGAGGGGAAACAAGAGGGACAAAGGACAAACACAAATCTCCAAACACAGCTAGGTGACTGGTGCGCAACCGAAAAAATCCGCCTGGTCGATACCCGCACCAGGCGGATTTTTTGGGTCGCGCACCAGTCACCTAGCAGTGTTTGGAGATTTGTGTTTGTCCTTTGTCCCTCTTGTTCCCCCTCTCCAGGGATTATTTTCGTCATCGACTCTTTATTCAGTTGAAGTGGACGTTATCCCGGCATCCACTCATCCGTATCCTCTTTACCTTTCGTAATGACACTGGCGTCTTAATTTCACTCTACTGCGCATGTAATTCCTTGCCGACGAGTGCAGGTCTTCATCGTCTGCTTTCCAAGTTTGGGAATGCCTGCTGCGCGTCGGCTTCATATGTCGTATGTCCAAATGTGAAAACAATTCAGACGGGATAGCTCTTCACCGATGCAACACGATAACAGTGATGTTCCTTCCCTGTTGCAATTAAATGTATTTTGATAGAACTAAGATATATTGAAGTTCGTTGGCGCATCCAACAAGGACGCACTGCCGAGAGAGTGGTGACGTCATACAAACGACTACGTAACTCTTCTGAGCGCCATTGCGGGCAGGGCTTGTGGCAACAGTACAACCGCCTGCCTAATTTAGAAATCCATGGCATGCCGGTGTCCACCAATGAAGACCTCAAAAAATCCGTCTTCGACCTCGCAGACAAACTGTCAATCACATCTTTTCAACCTTCTGTCATGGTGGCTGTCCACAGGCTCCCAAACAAAAAAGATAAGATCCCCCCGAGTTCGGTTCGATTTTCGTCATCAGCTGCACGAGAGATATGGATGAAGGCACGTGGCGGTCTGCGCGAACTCGCACAAGCGAGAACTCTACCCCAGCTTTATTTTATCGAGAATCTCACCTAAATCAACCGAAACCTGTTCTGGAAAGCTTGAACACGGGGAAAGGAGAAAAGATTCAAGTATGTTTGGGTTCGAAATGGCAAGATATTTGCCAAGCGGCAAGATCAGGCAACCCCAGTGCGCATCAACTGTGAACACGATATTGAACTGATAAACTAAAAGGATATTGGATCCAGAGAGGACCGTCTGATAATGGGCTGTGATGACTTTCATACTTTTGTTTCCTTTTCAGAAGTACAGAACTTTTTACAAGTTTCGAAGGTAATACTTTTCGTATTACCCGTGTTAATATCCGAAGCATCCGGAAATACTGGGACCATTTTCTCGCATTAATCTCCCCTTTTTGCTCTTGTTTTGATGCTTTTGTACTGACCAAGTTTAACATTTCTTCGGAGAGTTTCACTAAGTATAAAATACCAGGCTATCAGGTGTTCTCTTATACTCGTCCAATAAGAAGAGGAGGGGGTGTGGCTGTGTTTATAAAAAATAGTTGGTCGGTGACCGAGTTAAAATTTTCATTCCAACAGACAGAAGTAGTTACGCTGCACTTAAGCACTCCTTTGTTATCCCTGGTCCTTTTCTCAATCTATCGTCTCCCGTGCTGTAATGCACGGTTATTTCTGGCCGAATTTGATTTAGCTTTGTCCTCTCTTTCATCTGAAGAGCTTGTATGTGTAAACGGCGATATTAATATTGACGTACTTCGTCCCACAGTGATCATAGTCGTAGTCTATCTTGATGTTTTGTCTAAATGGGGCCTAAAAGCAACAATTCGGAAGGCAACACGGGAGGAATTTATCTGGCCAATTGGTGGTATCTAACATTGATCATATAAACGTACGAGCTCAGAACGTAGTAATCCAGCCTGCAATTATTGAAACTAAACTTGCTGATCATTATTTTGTCTGTTGTTCAT